GTGTGAATGTGTGAATGTCTGTTAGTGTAAAGCGCTTTGGGGTCCGGAGGGACTTGAAAAGCGCTCTATAAGTTCAGTATCATTTACCATAATCTTCCTCCGTAGTGAACATGTTTCCTTCTAGCAGCCCATTCAACTTTAGTTCTTCCTCTGATGTTATATCTGTGACGGTTCGTACAGCTAACATAATTTTTTCTCCACAAAGTAGAAACTCTCCTCAAGAGCTAAACTTAAGGCTGCGTCACACAGCAAGATTTTAAACTATTCAAAGACTGAGAGAGCCCACACGTGAGGATAAAACATCCTGGATGTACCAGGTTTGGTCCCACAGTGTGTGGTGTACAGACAACACATGGACAGATTTCATTCATGAACATTCAGATGTCAGATGTGAAATCACATGAGACTTCTTGAAATCTCACAAGAATTCAGATGCCTTAGGAGAAATCCTCCAGAGAGACATGATTTCAGAGTAAATAAACATTTGTGACGAGGAAGAAACAATATTAATCTTTTGTGAACTATTTTTACCAGAGGAAAACAATTCCACAGGTCTTCTAACATCCAGCAGACTTTCTGGTGAGTCGAGACAGTTTTTTTGTCTTCTGTATTTTGGATTTCCTGCCATGTTTACATCACTTCCTGATTGGCTGCACGTCATATTCAACAGGATGCAGCTCATTTGTTCTCGGGTCAAAACTTCAAACATGTTGAACATCCCAGATTTAAGCTCGGTCCTGACGTCCTTCTGAGCCAAGTAGATCCTTCTTACCTCACCAGCCATGGCAGGAATATCTGCTCTGATTATCTTTAGAGTCATCGCAATAATCTGGATGTCTTCAGGATTGTGGAAAGTTCCAGAATTCGGCAGAATTATCCTGCCGTGTGACGCAGCCCTGACCTGCTGTAGGCAGTGAACCTCTACTGTAACTAAGACTAACTTTCATGTTTTATTTTTCCTCTGAGCTGCCTGTTGGAGTTGTTGTAACTTTTCTTTTAATTGCATGAGAACCTGTGACAGATCAGAGGGTTGTAGATGTTAAAGGACAGTTTTACAGATGCACTACACTCTGACCAGTCATAGTGATCAGTCATGTGACCCGTGTCATCTTTTTGTCCCAGTGAGAATGCCATACTTTATCGACCTGAAGCGACCGCTCGACCAGGGTCTGAACCACACACGCAACTTCTACCTGGAGCCTGAACTGGGTCTGAGGATCGGAGTCTGGTACTGAACACACAAACACATGAACCCACGTGCTTCCTTCAGCTGTAGCAGTTTGGATCCAACCATGTAATTAACACTGTGTGATTAGTTCAGAAGGGGGTCTCTGCAGTCACTAAGTGGGAATTTCTGGTTTTTTGTTTGTCCAAAACATGATTGTTCTGTTTGACTTTTGTGGGTGTAGGTTGTTAAAGATGTGATTGGGTGGATTGACTGTTTTGGGCAGGGTTTGAAAAAGCCATAACAATTCAGTTGGATGAACGCTGGGCAGCTGGGGGGACGTGTAACTCGGTCGAAAGCACCTATATTTTTAAATAGGAATATTAATTTTAATGAAAACGAGAAGGCGTCAGCTGCACAAAATTTAAACGCCGTACATGTGAAGGGACCTGCAACAATTCGGCACAGTCAAAACCACCCTAACCCACCTGGGAAAAGGTAGCTATTTTAATATCAACGGTAATATCAGGCATAGTGCGAAACAGGAAGGCGCTAGCTGCAGAAAATTTAGTCGATAAATAATGTTCCAAATTGGACTGCCACAAACGATTATTTTTATAGTCAACTAATCAACAATTATTTTTCGATTAGTCGACTAATCAGATCAA